CACCGATAAAACTTATTTACGCGCAGTAAACATTTGCATCTGCTGGAATCAGACTGGGAACTCCTGATCAATCACAAAATGCTTTTGTGGGTCATAAGAGGACCCAGCATGCCGCACTGTGGTTTAGTGTAGAGCTGCTGTAATTAATCCTAAATAATGTTTTGCTTTAGGTTTATTGGTTTTTTTTTACACTTACAATTAAATTTAAATATGATTTTTAAGTGAAAATATCAAGAAAAAAGGAGGGAAAGGAATAAAGGGATCCAAAGCCATTGTTTTACTTTGGGCTGCGGTTTTGGCCTATGCACATACTTTCCCCCTTCATAAAGTAACAGCTGTGATGACTAATAACACTTTAACATTAACTAATGCTGAAAGATGACACCGGTCATGACTGAAACTTTACTTTCACCACTATATGATCTCCTTCCTCCTCTTTTCCTTCCAAGGATTAAAGTTATTTCTTGTTTTACGATATTTTGTGTGTTTACATAAGTTGATGAAGTTTGCACAGCAGGGACTCTTTGTCCAACATTCATCACTGTTAGCAACTTTTTCATTTACAGCAGGGAAGTACCTCTGCACAGGGCTCAGGGCTCTACTCAGTGCCACTTAGTCACGTGACCGCAGGTCGACTAAACACAGTAGAGCAGGAAGCTGCGAGTAGGGGGCGGAGCAAAGTGTGGCTGAGTGACATGAACGGTGTTAACTTTAGGTTACGTGCATAAACCTGGTTCTCAGAGTTGCATGAGTGAGATGTGTCACTATGGAATGCACCTCCCTGCATATTCCTCAGATGCATTTATCTCATTCTGCCAATCCTGATTGGCTGGTGATTGCAATCATTATGTCGGGCAGAGCCACCCACCCTTAAATAGCATGTGCTATTACATAGTTGTTATTTAAGATAAGCACCTCTTGTCGCTTTGCCCCGGCAAGAAGGGCTGTCTGGTGAGATGTCTTACTCATGGTACTCTGAGAACCAGGGTTACGCAAGTTACCTAAAGATCTCATTTCTAGCATTCATTTCAGCGTCTCACTATGGGAAATGGAGACTCCAGTATTGCCAGACAAGCTTATGTCAAGGACCCAGTGCCCAGTACTTGAAGCGGAGACTTCCAGCCTGTAAAACTGGACAAAAGTGAGAGGTGAAGACCAGCTTGCCTCTGCAAGACCGGCTTGCGGCCTGCAGGCTTGCTCCACCACGAGTGAAGCAAACTGGAAGGCCGTTTGCTGTCTGCCACCCTACACTCATAGACCTGCCCTTATAAGGGCCTGCCCATGTAAGAGCAAGCTGGTTATTTTTCCAATCCTTTGTCCTGTCCAAATATGGATGCAAAATTCAAACAGGACACAGCCTATGCAGTAGTGATGGGAATTCTGGCTCTTTTTAGAGAACCGGCTCTTTCGGCTCGCCTCACTAAAAAGAGCCAGCTCTGAACCGGCTCTTCAGGTTGTTTTG